CTTTCTTGTTAGTTTTCTTAGTAGGTCAATATATTACAACTATGCCATTATTTACCAATCTATCAACTTTAGATGTAATCCATTGGCTTTCTTTTATAGTGAGTGAGGGCTTAGTGTACTTATACTATCCCTGCACTAAGATTTTTTAAGGTCCAGAATTATATGTACTAATATTGCAATTATGGTAGAAGAAATTTTCACTTATAGCTGTGTTATGTGTGTGTGTGTGTGTGTGTGTATTGCCTAATACACGATCATGCATTGCACATTATAGACATTCGATAAGTACATATTGAGTGAATCTATATAATCTACATTCAAATTTTTCTATTTAAAATGTGGATATTTCCCCTATGAATGCTGTTAAAAATTCACAGGAAACATTTTTTAAAATGGCTGACATTAATAGCATATGGCTGTACTATAATTTATTTAACCTTCAACACATTATGAAATATTTAGGAGGTTTTCCAATTTTTTAAAGTTACAAATAACTTGTCTGTAAACATTCTTATAATAAATCCATCAACTGCATCTCTGAACCTTGGAGTAGATTCCTAGAAATAGAATTACTGAGTCAAAAGTTCTTGATAACATATTGCCGATTTCCTTTCCAGGAAGACTTTGCTTATTTGTACTCCTAAAAACACTGTAAAAGAGTAATTATTTCATTAACTATTATTCAACCCTAAATATATTTATGCTCGAAAACTTGGCTAATTTTGTACAGTTAAAATGGTTACAATGTTTTATTTTTTATTATTTTTTATATATTTTTTATTGATTTCAGAGAAGAAGGGAGAGGGAGAGATAGAAACATCAATGCTGAGAGAGAATTATTGATTGGCTGCCTCCTGCACACCCCCTACTGGGGATTGAGCCTGCAACCTGGGCATGTGCCCAGATAGGGAATCAAACTGGGGACCTCTTGGTACAAGGTTTGGCACTCAACCACTGAGCCACACCAGCTGGACACATATTGCTGTCACCTTGAGGTGAGATGGTTTTTATAAATTAGAAGGTCTGTGGCAATGTTCATTATACTTATACTAGAGGCCCGATGCACGAAATTTGTGCAAGTGGCCTGGCCCTCGAAACCCTGCCTGCCCCGGCCTGCCCTTGTAGCCCTGGCTTCATCTGAAAGGTCATCTGGAAGGATGTCCGGAAGGTCGTTCAGCTGTCCAGTCTAATTAGCATAGTACGCTTTTATTATTATAGATATTTGATGCTTTATGATTATGTTTTAATCTTGTTCTTTCTTTCCTGTAGTTTACCCCACTTACTTTTTTGCTATTTGACTGCTGTGGTGTGTGATATGTGTGTTTTGTGGGATTAAAAAAAATCCCTGTAGTGGCCTATGATTAGGAGAAGTAAGCAGAGAAGATAGCAAGTCTTTTTCATTGGATTACCAACAAAGAAATTAACCGTGGTAGCAGTAGCAGCTCATTGACTCAAGCTGGGTCGCTTGCTTGTACCTGCTGGCCCGGAGTTTAGAGAAGGAGAATCTTTCTAATGTGGCTCCAGAAATAAGAGACACAATCGATATTTCCCCAAAATTTGCAACAGGGTAGGATCTGGTGCAGAGTATTGATTGCATAATCTTGATAAATAATGGAGCCCCTGCCTGCAGGATAAAGTTTTATTCCTTTCTTACAATGTATAATCTTGGTCTCTAATAATCTAGATGACCATGTTTCTGAGAATCAATGACACAAAGACTCTTTAAACCTGTTTCCCAACTGAACACTAATGTACTTAGGCTAATCAAGGAATGCATGAGCTTTGAAATTTATTACTAGTGTCAAGCTGGACACAAACTGATATGGTTTTGTAACTATTCTGGTTTGAGTTTCAGTTAAACTACATAAATACACCAACTAAGTGTTGAAATTATTTCAAATAATGTTTAGTATATTAAAAAGCACCTTAGCACTTCAAAATTACTGGATGTAGAACTATAAGTAATGCTGTGAAGTAATAAGTTGCACTTTGTTTGGTTTTTATTATTTCTTTCTCATAGGATTGTATGTTTATCTCAAAGAAATACTTTTATTACCAGAGTGGTACCTTTACAGCAGAACTGGCTGACCTTGTTTTCATTCCATTAGTTCAATATTTCTTGGTTTTAAACATGTCTATAAATATGAAATTATATACTGACCACCACAACTAAATAAAAGCAATGTTATGAGTAACCTATGAATTATACAATTTACTGTGTGTTTACCATACCCTAAAATAAATTTTAAAAATAGTTAGTTATAGGTACATACAAGAGATGGGAAACCAAAGTCAAAGGTGAAAGGCTATGACTTATATATAGAGTCTTGCTAGTTGAACGAGTACAAAAATATTCAGTCAGTCAGTTAGTTGTGGGAGTTAAATTGAATTCTTGCTCAGCTGTGTCCATGGATAATCAAGTTTTTACAGATTGACTCTTTCACCTTCAAACCCACACTCCTACTGTGCCTTTCTGTTCTGCAAAGGTTGTGGCACTATCAATGACAATTTTAGACTCCCTTGCAGCTAGTGTTCTGGACCTGAATTAGGTTTTGCAAATTAACTACACTTGCATAGTTTGGAAGGTAAATGTTTTATGCCTTTTCTTGGTTGTGTATGAGCTGGCAAACATGGTCATTGAAATGGGACATTTTCTGGAGCAGCATTCTATACAATTGTCTGCAGCTTCTATGTGTTTGAAACAATTTCAATGAAGATGGTGGCCATATTTCAGTGCCCAATAAACAGCTCTGTGAGATTTTATGGGCATTTGTGCTGATCATAGGGACTTCCAACTTAGGCTTTTATCCCTGAATTTGACTATTGCCTTGTGTTCACACATGCTATAGTTCTATGGTGGCTTACAAGTAGTAGTTCTACTCCCTTATTAGAATACTAGAGGCCCGATGCACAAAAGCATGCATGGGTAGGGTCCCTAGGGCTGGCTGGCGGTCAGGGCTGATCTGTGGGGTGATTGGGGGGGCCCTCGCTGGTACCCGACTTGGCTGGCCTGGCACTGCCTGTTTGCTGGTCCCACCCCCCTGCCGCCTCCCTCTGCAGGGCGACCAGTGGGGCAATGAGGGGGGGCCCGCTGGCACCTGCCTTGGCTGGCCTGTGGGCTGGGGCCAGCTCCTGTGTTGGGCGTCTGGCCCCTGGTGGTCAGTGCGCATCATACCGACAGGTGGTTCCACCGGTCATTCTGCCGTTCGGTCGATTTGAATATTAGGTTTTTATATATAGGATATGTCAGACCTGGGCAAGTTCTGTGAAAATATTCAATTCAAAGTTATAGAAATGGGCAAACATGATAATCATATCCAATGATTTTTAAACATTTCCTCCAAATTCAAGGCCTTTACTGCCCTTGTAAATGTGCTATCTCATTGCAAATCCATGAGTCCTAAGCATCTATGCCCACAGCCTAGTTTTTGTTTCTGATTAAAACAAACACATAAAAATCAACAACTATGTTTTAGGCAACTGACACTTCTACTGTGTTCATACAGTATATGTTTAAAACAAAAACCAGCACCTTGGCAAAAGTCTACCATGCACAGAACAGATATAAAGAAAACCAGCAGGTTAAGCCATCATAACAAATGCATCCTATTAGAAACATCAGGTATTGGATAATAGGATAATATATAATTGACACAATCAGATTTTTTAAGCATTTTTTTTTTTTTTTTTTAACCAAGAAACATGCTGCTAGGGCCGGCAATGACATACATTTTTGCCCCTGGAAGTAATAGCATGGGCATCAGAGTCCATTGATCCTGGCCAACATGTGGAGTCTACCAGATGTTGTTGGAGAGGGAGTGAAATGTAAGACTGGATAAGAGAATTTATTGACACTGAGCCACTTTCCAGGAGCTTGGGATTGCGTTGGCTGTTGTAGCTTGGACATGACTATGATCTGGGGATTTATCCAGATTAAAACCTGGAGGAGGAAAGCACAGTGAGCTTTCCATGAAACGGCTTATGGTGTCACTCGGAAACCCAATGGTGCCCTAATGCTTGCAGGATACATCTCTGATCCCCTAAACCCGCCCAATACGACTCTTTCCGAGGTGGGCCCCTTACTTCTCTAGCCTCCTCACTCCCTCTCTTTGACAACTAACTCCGGTACCAGAATATACTACGCCTTCCCAGGTCCCCATCCTCAGCATGTCCAGATGTTCCCCCTCCTCCCCGCAAGTCTTCTATCGGATGACAAGGTGATTCTGGGTTTCCACAGCACCGGCAGGTTTCTCAGGCCTAACTCTCCACTGCACGGAGCTGTCTTCTCTCCTTTCTCTCTGTCTGTTAGGTTTTGAGGGCGTACTCTTCCTACTTCTCAGCAAGTCCTGCAGTGGTTCTCAACCTTCCTAATGCTGTGACCCTTTAATACAGTTCCTCATGTTGTGGTGACCCCCAACCATAAAATTATTTTCGTTGCTACTTCATAACTGTAATTTTGCTACTGTTATGAATCCTAATGTAAATATCTGATATGCAGGATGTATTTCCATTGTTACAAATTGAACATAATTAAAGCATAGTGATTAATCACAAAAACAATGTGTAATTACGTATGTGTTTTCGGATGGTCTTAGGTGACGCCTGTGAAAGGGTCGTTTGACCCCCAAAGGGGTCGCGACCCACAGGTTGAGAACCGCTGCCTTAGAGGCTTAGCTGTTAAAGGAAAACAGCACTGCAACGTTTCAAGACCGCCCTCTCTTCAATGGAAACTTTACGGGCAACTTTCAGTTTCACTCCTACTGTCTTTCTTCTATTGATCCTTTTCCTTCGCACTCTTTCCCCTCCCCCACCTACAATCCCGAAGGTCAGGAAAGCCAGCGCGACCCGTTCTCCCGGAACTCGGCTGCCCGTCCACCACACTCCCCCCTCCCTCCCGGGGAGCCACGCTGGCGTGCTGACGTCACGCGCAGCGCCGCCGTCCCGCCATCAGGCCCACCGTCAGCGCCTCCCGCGGTTTTTTTTTTTGTGGTTATGTACGGGGCACCTTGAGCTCAGTTGGTACCAAAGACCAGCAGCAACGAGTACCAAAGGCGGGGCCTCGCGGACCCCCGCTTCCCCAAAGCCAGGTGACGGGTTTCCCCCAGCGACGCGCGGGCAGCCAAGGGCCCGCCCCATCGCGTTTCGCGGTCTCCCGGGAAACGGCGCAGCGCGCAGGCCGGGCTGGTGGGGGCGCGCGTGCGCAGTGCGCCGCGTTTGCGCGGACCCGGGGTGATGGGCGTTGGATGCCGACAGGATGGCCCATTTCTCCGGCGAGGACCAGGCGACGCTGCAGGTGATGCTGAGGCAGCTGTTCCAGAGCGTGAAGGAGAAAATCACGGGTGCTCCCTCCCTCGAATGCGCCGAGGAGATCCTCTTACATCTGGAGGAAACTGATGAGAATTTCCACAAGTAAAATTGCTTTTGTTGTCTTTAAGCAAACAAAACAGCTGACCCAGAAAAGTAAAAATGTAGTTGGATTTAAAAAAAAAAGTGCATTTGTTTATTGTTAAAATAGCACCCCAGTTGGAGGTTCATTATTTCATTACCCAAATACCGAAATTAATTGATTTATTCTTTCCTTATTTTCCAAAGCATCTGCTTGCTGTGTTTTTACTGCGCCACCACATTTCCTGATTCTCCATTATTTTCCTCCTCGGCAACACAGTAATTAATGATAAATTGTTCGTGTTCTTTTAGGAGTAATTCTATTATTTCAGAGTATTCCTGTCACTCTAACAGAAAAACATTGAGTTCCAAAGATTCTTGTTCCTTTGCTGATCTGGTATCTCAGTGGCGGCACCAATGATCCATTCCGAGGTCTGCGGGAATACTGAAGTGAGGTGGTTAATGTCCTATATCCCTATGAAATAGCTTAAGTTTCTGTAAAGGGATGAAGCCCATACGCAGATATCTGTTGTGCATGTGAGGAATGTTAAGTGTAGTAGAAGAAGTACGAGTGCTTTGGGTCGGGAAGGAGTAGGGGTAGGAAGTTTAGTGGGAGAGCTACCATCAGGTGAATCTTGTAGGATATTGCTTCTTTATTTTTTTAAAATATATTTTATTGATTTTTTTTACAGAGAGGAAGGGAGAAGGATAGAGAGTTAGAAACATTGATGAGAGAGAAACATAGACCAGCTGCCTCCTGCACAGTCCCTACTGGGGATGTGCCCGCAACCAAGGTACATGCCCTTGACCGGAATCGAACCTGGGACCCTTGAGTCCGCTGGTCGACGCTCTATCCACTGAGCCAGACTGGTTAGGGCAGGATATTGCTTCTTCAGCGACCTGTGTTTTTCTTTTGATTTGAATCATATAATTTAAATTAAGCCATTGAATCGTATACCGCTGGTATCTCCATTTATCAGTGGTAGTGGTATTTTTACTTTAGGTTTGCATTTTATTTTGATCTTACAGAGATGACATTTTAATTGTTTCTTGGGTCCCCTGAAGTTGTCCTTCTTTGAAACTCCTACTCATTTCATATACATGGGCATCAGGGAGCCTGGAGCCCTTTATTTAATATTTTGTGCAACAGTTTGTGTTTGCTTGCAACTTTATGGGGGAAGCATATACGTTTTCACCAGATTCTCAAAGGAGTTTTTAAAAGTGTGGAAAGAGTTTTTGTTAATGTAGAGTTTCTAATTTCATTAGTGTTTCTGGTTATACATGCGGTTGTTTTTTGTATTTTCATGATTTTCTTGTTTATTTCTTCATCAAAGTCACTACTAATAGCTGTTATTGGTTAATTTCTGCTCTTTGTATGTTTTCTTTGAGAGAAACTTTTAAAACTTTTGTAATCAATGATTAGCTCATTAATTTTCAGCTTTCTTTCTTTCTAAATGTAAGCATTTAAGGCTACACAATTGCCTATAAGTATTGCTTTAGCTGTGTCAATTTTAAGATGCCTTTTTTTTTTCAAGCTAAAGATGGATCATTGTGGTTCTTCTCAGCAGGCTAACAACTGTTATAATAGTGTAATTTCTCTTCTTCAGCAAGATTAAATGAGATAATTAAATGCCTGCAGATTAACTTGCATAGTTAATGTTTACTATTTACTGAAGATATTGACTTGAGGCCTACCCAAATTAATCTAGACACACTCAAAGTAAAAGTAAGATTTATAATCCTATCAGTAGTTGAGTAGTTTATAGTGTTAAAAGTATAGATGGTAAAATTCACGTGTTACCTGCACTAACCTGAGATCTGTGCGTTAGGAGGAAGGAATCTCTATGTAGGAGAGGAAAGGGGCAGGAGATACTTGTCTTTGGTATTTTCATAGACTCTTACAGTCTCAGAGTTGGAAGAGATCCTAAAGGTCGATTAATTCAGGTGCTCATACTTTCATTTGTCTCTTTTTTTCACTGACTTAACTCTCTTTGAGCATTAGATGTTCTTGAGTCACTTAGCGATGTATTGCTTCCCAAAGTGTTTCATGCTTCAGAATATCTGTTCTCCCATCTCCACTATCAGAACATTGCTTTCTTAAATCCACCTGCTGTTGTCATGGTATTAGCAAGAAAAATAATCTTTATTAAACAGGCCTACAGGGGAAGCTGGTGTCTCTAGGCTTTTGGCATTTTTGTAAGAAAATGATTGCTAAGATAATTGAGTCCTGCCCAGGCAGTGGTTGAACCAGAGGTCATGGTTTGATTCCTGGTCAGGGCACATGCCCCGTTTAGGGCTCGATCCCCAGGAGGGGGCGTGCAGGAAGCAGCCCATCAGTGATTCTCTTGGGGGGGCGGGGGGGGGGCGGGGGGAGAATTGAGGCGAAGAATTGAGTCTGTAAGTGATGGAATTTCAGGCATTGTAATAAAATGGGAGAAACCACAGGAGAGCCCTATCTGGCGATTTGCCCCAGAGGGCAGTTGCCCTAAACTATCTCTGCTTCCCATAGCCTCTTCCATTTTTCTACTGTAAACTCGTCGCAGTTTCTAAAAAGTTCACGTTTCCCCCCTTTCTCTGAAAGTGGCAGCAAGGATTTGAGGCCTGTGGGTGGGGGGAGAGGTAGGGAAGAGGACATTGCTTTCACTATGTGTGCATGTGTTGTGTAAATTTTTATGCTTGGACTGGCTCCCTATAAAACAGACAGCCCTGGTTTTAATCAGTTGAAGGCTGTTTGAAAAAATACTGATGAATCAAAATATCCTGGGGTCTGGCAGAGGAGGAGTGGCAGAGGCTGGGCCTTGGTGTTTTTGAAAAGCGCTCTAGGTGATTCTGATATGCAGCCGCGAAATACTTGCATTTCACTGATTATTGTATTACAGCCGTCCCCCCTTATCCCAGGAGGATACATTTCAAGACCCCCAGTGGTTTCCTGAAACCTAGGATAGTACCAAACCCTACACATACACTATGTTTTTTTCCTGTTCACACAAACCTTTTCGCTTAAAGCAGCGGTTCTCAACCTGTGGGTCGCGACCCCTTTGGCGGTCGAACGACCCTTTCACAGGGGTCGCCTAAGACCATCCTGCATATCAGATATTTACATTACGATTCATAACAGTAGCAACATTACAGTTATGAAGTAGCAACGAAAATAATTTTATGGGTCACAGCATGAGGAACTGTATTTAAAGGGCCAGAAGGTTGAGAACCACTGGCTTAAAGGAAGCACTTTACAGCTTCTCTTCGGCATATCCAAATTGACAGCATCACTATTCTTGTGCTTTGGAACCATTATGAAGTAAAATAAGGTTTACTTGAACTCAAGACTTTGATACCTCCACAGCTAATCTGATAACTGAGATGGCTAAGTGAGTCATGAGCAGGGAGCCTATAATACAGTGTGGATATGCTGGACAAAGGGATGATTCATGTCTAGAGAGGGATGGAGCAGGAAGGCAAGCAATTTCATCATGCCTCAATTTAAAGCTTATTGGTTCTTATTTATTTCTTGTTTACTTATGGAATTTTTTATTTAATATTTTTAGACAACAGTTGACCATGGGTAATTGACACGGCGGAAGGAGAAACCTCAGATAAGGGAGAACTACTGTGTAATTTTACTTAAGAAAAAAATACTTAACCAAATCTAATGATTGTAACCCTGTACCTGATATTTTTGGTTTGATATGGAAGGAACACAATAATATTTGTTGAATTGGGTTTATTCTTTGTTTTACAGAAGAACCTACCAGTGAATTTAAATTAGTGAACTCTAGTGTGTTTAAGTTAAATTATCTTTGTCATTTGAGAGACCACAAAACTCTCACCTTTTAAAATCATGATATCAATTATAATCATTGCTCTTTATTTTCAGTAAACATATTTCATAAAATAATTACCCACTTTTGGAATTCTTAACCTCTTACGTTTGCTGTATTGTCTGCAAACTGATTTTAATGTTAGCATGAACCTAACAATATGAAGGAAATATATTAGATCGTCTGAGATAGCTCTCTCTGTAAACAGAAAAGAGCTGATAGGTGGAATTTGGGTCAGTTACCTCTTTCAAAATGTACACAAACCTCTTCTAATGATTGGAGCTTAACCTTTTCCTATTTATTCCCTCATAATTGCTGTTACTCTAGCTTGGTTTTCCTCATCAGTTTGAATAATTGTAAAAATCCTTAACAACTGCTTTCCCTCTCCTTTAATGTGCAGTACACATTAAAGATGGGAGCATTCCAAAGCTGTGAAAAGACTCCTAACCCACTAAGGGTGGGATAGGTCCCGAAATTTGCTCTCCCCTTACCTCCCACTGTGTTGTTCAATGATTTGGGAGAGTAATTTAATTCTACTTTAAAGTAAGAAATCTGAATATGTCACAAAGCTTTCTGTGCTAACACTTTTTCTGGATGTGGTTACTGAGTTTGTGATATTCACTGCACTTATTTTTAAAATATTTGTTTCAGCTATGAATTTGTGAAATACCTCAGACAGCATATATGCAACACTTTGGGGTCTATGATTGAAGAAGAAATGGAAAAATGGACATCTGATCAGAATCAGGGTGAGGAATCTGGCTATGACACAGTTGTGCAGCATGTTACTAAAAGAACTCAGGAATCTAAAGAGTGAGTATGCCTACAATAATATTTTAAAGTAATTTTTCTCTCAACAGGGCTCCCTGAAAGCACTCCTAACCAATGCCCCTCCCCTCAGTCTATTTCCCTCATAGCAGCCAGAAGATTCCTTGAAACAGTGAATCAGATGGTGCCACTCTTCCTCATAACACTTTTCAAAGGGTTCTCATCTTCATAGTCAAATCCAGTTTCTTCTGTAGCCTACAAGGCCCACCGTGAGCCTTCTGCTCCCTCTCCTACCTCATTTCTTATCATATCTCCTTTGACATTGCTCTAGCGACACTGGCCTTGTTCTTACTCAAACAAGTGAAGGGATTTGTATTGGCCCTTTTCCTAATTGTGTGACGTACTCCTTCACTTTTCTTTAATAGACTTTATTTTTTAGAGTTGCTTTAGGTTCATAGCAAAATTGAGCAAAAGGTACATATTTCTTTCCCCTATACCCCCGGCTCTTATACATGCATAGACTTTCCCCAGAGAGTGGTACGTTTGTTTTAATTGAGAACCTACATTGATATATCATTATTACTCATAGTTTGTAGATTGCATTAGCATTTGGTGTTGTGCATTCTATGGGGTTTGGACAAATTTATAATGATATATATTTACCATGATAGCATCTTACAGAGTAGTTTCACTGCTCTAAAAATCCTCTGTACTCCACCTAAAACCCCCTCCTCCTCCCAACCTCTGGCAACCACTGGTCCTTTTACAGTCTCCATACTTTTGCCTTTTCCACACTTTCAGATAGTTGAAACCATACAGTATCGGGCCTTTCAGTTTGGCTTCTTTCACTTAATAATATGCATTTAAGTTTCTGTGTCTTTTCATGGTTTGATAACTCATTTCTTTTTAGCACTGAGTAATATTCCATTGTCTGGATGTACCAGTATGACATGTGACACATGTCATGCTGGGGATTAAAAAATATATACATACATAATGTGTATTATATTAATTTGTTTATAATTACATATTATGTAAGTCACATATCTATATATATAAAAGCCTAGGCGACCGGCCGACTGGCCAACTGTTTGACCAATAGCTATGACACGCACTGACCACCAGGGGGCAGACGCTCAATGCAGGAGTTGCCAACCTGCGGTGACTTGTCAGCTGTGGTTCTCGGGTGATGCACCCGGAACCAGAGGGCAGGGAGCCTTATTCCGGGGTGTGTCACCTGAGAACTTCCCTCTCACAATCCAGGATCCCTCGGGGGATGTCCGAGAGCCAGTTTCAGCCTGATCCCTGCCGGCCAGGCCGAGGGACCCTACTGGTGCACAAATTGACTGCAACGACAGTCGCTATGGTGCACACTGACCACCAAGGGGCAGACGCTCAACGCAGGGGCTGCCCCCTGGTGCTCAGTGTGCTCCCACAGCCAACCTCCTGCAGCTGGCGGCCAGCCAACCTTCCGTGGCCTTCCTTCCCACTGGTCCCTCCCCTCGGCTAAGGCTCTGGGCACTGGAGAATCTGGGTCTGGGAAGCCTGTAGGAGGAGAGTGACCCTGATGCAGATTGAGACGGCGTAGCTGCTCGGAGGGGGCAGAAGTGGCAAGCCAGCAACTACAAAGAGGTAAAGTAAGCAGCACCGCCTTCTTACCTCTGCCACCGCACCGCTCGCCCTTCTGTCCCCGTCAACCACTTCTAGCTTGGCCCTGCGCCTTTTCGGGCTCCCAACTGCTAATTGGCTAGCGCTCCTACGGCAGTGTGCCACCATTGGCCAAAGTCAGCTACCTATCATGACTGGGGGTGGAGCCCCGAGAAAATGTGTGGCTGAGGTAGGAGAGAAGACCTCTCTGTCAGCAACTCCGCCCTGGGGAGAGTGAGGTGGCCTCAGTGCGGGCAGCGAAGTAGAGCTGTATTTCCACCTCAGAGCGTAGCTGGTGTTCAGGCCGTCTTGGGGTGCCCTGTCTGTGGTCTTTGCTTGCTGCTACCTCAGCACATCTGCACAACTAGATCAGGCCTGCCGGCCAACCTCCTAAGGTTCACTCCCCTCCCC